TTCAACAAAAATAAAGATAGTACTATCTTACATACATATAATATCTTAGGATAAGCACTTGAGTKCAGTATCTTTCAAGTTTCGCGAGCGAAATGATGGCAGCATTTGTTGCACCTCTCGATAAAATTACAGCATAACTGTACTACTAGTTACTAGTTTCACGGCGTTAAGATGATAAGATGTAGAGAAGATAATTTTAATAATATGAGTGAATATTTGAAATATTCAGATTTATGAAGATCCACTTCAACTGATGAAAGATTGATGAAAATTATTACCTAATGTTTCATTAACGTCGGATTATACCTTTCTTTATAATGCTAGATTTCTAGTTTTATTTTTTATATTTTGTTCTGCCGACCTTCATTAAAACTTCATTGGTCATGCACTACTAACAACTTGAAAAGCATTACCGTAAATAGCAATTTCGAACAATAAACTTTGCATTTTACTAGTAATTTCGCAAAAACAAAATTTGGGAATACTAATTGCATGCGAATCATGATAACTTTATTTATTTCACACGACAATTCTGGCGCCACAAGCGTAGAGACAATGCTTCAAAACAACATTCTGGGACAGTTTTAGTAAACAGACGGCGATTATAGTGGGAGATAAATCAATGAATGAAATTGTTTCACTTTGGCTATAAATAACTTTCTCGCTTCAGGATTTTTAATAAATTACGCGACTGTCAACAATGTTGCAGTGTTAATGTCATATCTTCAAATATTATAATTAAACTTTTAATCTAAATTAATTGTTTTATTCGTCATTGCTGCAATTGTATATGTTATTAATTACTGCTATGTATGAATTAATTGAGCTGATTTATCCGCCTAGCAAATATTAAATACTAAAGGTTTAGGTAATTTTTGTAAATTTTAACAATAATTATAGCATTTCTCTAACTGTTACTATAACCTCGTTGAAATCTGTTAATAAAAATTCAACTTCAAAATATGAGTATCATAGTATCAATAACACATATTTTTGTCRAAAATACCCTGGAGATTTCAAAGAAACCGATGGCTTATGACAGTAAAAATTGAAAGATAAAGAAGGRGAGTAGTAGTTCTATTTCCATACTRTCAACTTACTTACTAAGTACAGTTTATAAASAGGTTATATATAGGTAGGTATTATCTTTTTTATTTCTTTTTTAACCTTATAGAGTGCAGAACTTGTTCAACTGTTTACCTTATTCTCCAAATATTTTCGGCAATCTCGGAGATTTACTACAGTCGATAAYTGCCTTTGAAATATTTCTCTCTTTGGCTTATATGAGGCTAGAATATTAACTATAGAAGATTATATATCCATTTAACCTAATTAGGGCAGTTTGATTTGATATCAAAWTTTTTTTTTGACATGATCTCTTTCAATTAATTTGTCACTATGACAAACACAGACTTTATTAACTATGTTCGAATAGTTTTTTCACTATTTGAACGTTAATTTAGGAAACAAATTTTGAAGAGTCTTAATTAAAGTCTTGCCCACCCGAAGACATAACAGTTTCTGATCTTACTGAAGATTTGTGGATTCCTTCTTAATCATGAATTAAGCCAAACCTTTGATACCTTGACGTATTTCAGAGAGCGCGTTCTACATCGAAGGGAACAAATGGTAGTCCGAGGAGGTAAGGTCTGGTCTATAAGGCGGGTGCGACAAAACTTCATAGATGAATCTTGCCTTTTTATGATGGAAAGTATCTAGTTATTGTAGTTATAAATTCCAGCGTGTTTCGGCAAACGCTTACTTCAATTTGATAAGATCTTGTCTTTAGCGCTTTCCATCTATAGCTATATATGGCTCATAGATATTTGGCTTTGTCGTTGATTTTTCTGCTTGACCAAGTTTCACATATGATTGTTTTCATTTAGTGTTGTCGTAATAGCTACATTTTTCATCAGCAGTGATAATTTGGGGAAAAAACGACTTCTTTTTGTAGCGTTCACTTAAGTATTTCTGATAGGCAAAGAAATATTTTACCGTACAAAAATTTTCAAAATATCAMACCACGGATATTTTTTTCCATACCATAAGCGGTTTTTCCTACAYGGTCTATACTGCAAACAAACAAAATTAAAGAATTTTAGTTTGAGAATCTCCCCAATAATCTAACCCAAACACGCATAAATATAACCAGCATAGAAACCAATACATGCATGCATGAATATATTGGTCGCATGCGATACGCTCGCACGCATTAAATCGATCGATTGCTCGGCAAGGTACTTGTTCGAGGGGTTGCTTGGCAGTTGTTGAACACATGGAGTAGTAAGTGAATACATATGTACACATTCGTTTATGACAGCTGCAATTAGATTGAACACTGGTATGGTGATTGGGGTTAACCAAAACTTTGTGCTGCWACTACGAGTGGAGTTGTTGTGCCCACCTTTCTATATAACTATGTTTTAAGTTGCAAGCAAGTGGAGTATGGCGTCGTGTTGGGTTGTCACGTAACACTCAYTGTATTGATGTTGTTGCTCCTAATATTGATAGGTATGTATGTGTACTGGTACATAGTGTATAATGCTGTTGTTGTCGTATGACTAATCGTTTAATAGTTTCGTGCTTACGGCACATTACTATAAAAAATGTATGCCCTAATTTTACCTCTTACTAATTTTTCTTTGGAGTTTTATTAAGTTTCCCACACTTTATGTTCATTTTCTTTGCCATTGTAAATTCAACTATCTTTTGGGGTGCAAATTATTGTCGAGAATTGTTAATGTTGCCGATTTTGTCATAGATAATTTGAGGTTATATATAGATAAAGGTTTTTATATATATTCGATTTGTAAGTTATGTAATTTATTTTTTTTTTTTCACTAAAATAGTCAAAATCGGAAATATGTAGAAACGAATAGTTTTTCTAATCATCGAACGACTTTAGGCGCAGGTTGTTTCAACGTATTGCTTCAATACACCCCTCTAGCAGTGCTTAGACCCAGCGGATGCTAGCTAATTTTTTAAGAAAAAWAAATATCTCACAAGACCTTCAGATAGCACCAATAAAAATTATAATTTTATTATAGTGATGTATCTGAAAGCATAAGCTTGATAAATAGAGGAGCACTTAGGTTTTAGGAGCCTTTAAGTAATATATATGTAGGTTTCATTAATTTAGAGGGTATGCGCACTTTCTCCATTCTCGTTCATCAMGTTCGATGACGCGTTATCAACTATTCTCCCAAAAGGTTTTTTATTTGCTGTATAATATAAATGTGATGGACCTCCCATATCTTACACCTCGTTGATTATCCGGACATGAAGTTGTCGCCAACAGGTAAAGTGTCAAATCTTGAATACTGAAAGTGCCAGGTCATTACCTTTTGACATCGACCATGCTTCAGCGCCTTACCGCACCAAGGGTACTAAAGCGAGTTCTAGGATTTTAACTTTGTCTGTCGAGAGGTACACACGATATCTTATAGAGCTTTGGAAAGCTATCTTGTAATAACCTCGGTTTTTCCAGAATTTGCAATGTGAATATTTGTTCAACTGTGAARCATCCATGGTCTTGAGCCGAACTTATAAGCTTTAATCAGTTTTTTGGCAMGAACTTTCAGACTTTCTTTCTTGCTGGACAGGAACTTGCATGCACACAATATACTTTCGTGCCTGCGATAAAGGATTTTGTGGGTAGTAGTATCAAAAGTGTATGTACACAGTTTTTCATTATACGAAATTTCCACCATACACGCCATTCAAACTACAGTATATACAAATAGTGCACATATGTACATTTTCGTACGTTTTTGTAGCACGAAATAGAAAATCAATTCTAACCTAACTCCCATGGATGTGAATGCCAAAACACCAGCTACAAAATATTATTGATATAAAAACATTTTTTTGTTGTAGGTACTACAACTTGCGTAACTGTTTATACTCAAAACATGGAAAATAATAGTTTGCAGTTAGGATCTTGTTGGTGTTGGTATAATCAAATTGAAAAACTTTTTTGGCAGCCGAAAAAGAAGTCTGCCTCAAGACAACTCAATATGATATCTGTGGGTATTTGCCAAACATACATATGTATGTACCATGTTTTATACATGAA